GAATCTACCCTCTGTCTCACTCACACTTTAGACTCCTACATCTCTTTCTAAAGAGACTAATACAAATCAATTATTAGAGTGAACAGGAATTTTTCTAGAATCTCTGCAATTTAAGACTCATGGACACCTTTTGTTCCATCAGAACATGTTAACTCTGCTCTGTGTGTAAATCAAAACTGTGAGTTTAAAAGCGTGTCAAACATTGCGTATTTTCACCTATATCAGTGTTGTTCCATCTAAAAGACTTTTGCTGTAAGCTAATCTCTTTAATCTGTAAAACGACAAATACAGTCCATTTAAATATTCTACAGCTGTAGAGCAGCAAGATAAATGGATAAGTTTAGTGAACAAGTATTTAAAATTATAATAAAAACACTCTGAGAACTTGGCTTTTTTTTTTTAGACAAAGTTAGTTTATACGACTATTGCAATGAGCAAGTTTCTGATTTCAGAATGCTGAAAGAAACCGTTTAACACAATCCTAGGGGGAAGGGGGTGGAAATCTGCATTTGTCTGGTGAGTTTGATTTCCAATATTCCTTTTTCAACCAGTAGTTTTAATAATATTAAGCAGTATTCTAAAGAAATGCTCAAGGACGCAAGTGGAATCTTAAATGAATTCCTCAATATGGTTTCTGTGCACTTAAAAGTTCTCACAGATAATACCTCCCTCCAGGAAAATACATCCTATTACAAATAGAAATTGCTTTTATCAAGTTCTAAAGGAAACGGTCTCTGCCTGCTTTTGTCCTCAAGCAACTAACATCAACTACAGAAGGGTTATTAGCGTAAGAAAAAGTGCCAGAATCCTTTCTGTCGCTAACATGAACGTGCACTGTGAACAGCGTACAGAAGATCTCCATTTTCAGTCTCTGCAAAGTAAGGCCTTTGCTGAACACTCCTGTAGAATCTAAATAATTCACATTTGGGGGAGGAGGGGTCAAAGATATCATAGTACCCTGAAACACTGTACTCCACATGCTGCATCTTCTAACTTGCTATTAACTCAGGGTGCGGAGCACAATTTTAGATCTCCTGCAAGTGGATAACCCACAGAGTGTACAGAGCACTTTAAAAAACAAAAGCTCAGTACCAACAGGTTCTTTCTCTAGTCTCTATCTATATTAACCTCCTGCTCATAATGAAATGCCCCAGCAGCTAGCAGAGCCAGCAAAGTCTTCCTCCTCTCACATGTGTCTTTCAGGAATGCTGCTATGTTGAAAAGCCAAAATTATTGTTGCCCAACAACATGCAATTCAACAACAAAATCCCACTCCAAATGGCTTGATAGAAGAACAAATGTATGGATTTTTATAGACTTACGTCAACTCCAAGCTGTATAAACTGACACAATGCTATTCAAAGAAAACAAAACTCTAACGCTCCTGTCCCATATTCTGTACTAGTTTGAATCTTGCTGTAAAAAATATTGAGCAGTAACTTAAACTGACAGAAATTAACAGCTTAGCCAAAAAACTGTACCTAAAAAGTCACTTAGCACCTTTCAGCTACCTTCAGGATAAAAAAGCTAGAAACAAAATAACCCCAATATTACACGAAATTGAAAGACACGCTACACTAAATTATTTTCATATTTCTAGAAGTATGAGCATGAGTGTATTTGGTGTTATGATTTGCCTCAGTTTGGGCACCTTCCTAAATCTGGACTTGTGTTGGGAGAGTTTAAGCTGACATAAGTCTTGCATCAGAAGAAATTCAAGGTAAACATAAAAGTCATACTGATTTAGAACCACAATTTAATTTAATTGTTTAAAAACACTTGCATTTTCATCTAAAAATTAAAAAGGTGCATTTTAATAATACACTAATCTGATCTAATGGCAGATGATGCTAGAACAACCTGTTGAGCCTTCTGCCACCACCTCCAGCCTCATGCTGCTTCTGCACCAGGTCCTGCACATTAGTAAGCTCCCAAGGCAACCCCTCAGGGAGCTAATCCTGCAGAAAACGAGCTCCGCCAGAGAAAAGCGAATACTTTCTGTGGGTTTAACTCCCTGAATGAGCTCCCTGTAAGCCAGGTGAGCGGCACCTGCCAGGCCATTAAAATGGGTGGCAATGCCTAGTGGCAGCGAAGAGGGGAAGGAGCCTGTCTCCTTGGAGTAGAAACTAGCCATGAGCTCAGCCCAAGGACGGGGCACATACTGCAAGTCTGCAAGTCCACGTTGTTCACCAGTTCCATTCCTCTGTCACACTTTTGCTGGCCATTGCTGATCTTAAAAGTAACTTAAGAGTAACAATTCTAAAGGTATCTAAAAATATGGATCCATTGAGAACCAGGGTGTTTGTTTTTTGTTTTTGTTTTTGTTTTTTTTCAAAAAAGCACATTTGAGTAACCAGCTTCTTTAAAAACTCATTGTTTTAAAACAGTATCAAATTAATATTTAAACTATGTTCTTCACATACCTCCAAGCAAGTACTCTAGCAAATACCTAACCTCCCATGTTTCTGGTTTTTTTGTTGCAACATTTGTTAAATAAATTCTAAAGGTCATTTCCATGGCTCAGGAGAATTTGACTAATATTATGATAAATATTCTTGGAGAATCTAATTTTTAAAAAAAGCAATGAAATAAGCATAACATGACTTTTATGGATGTCACCATCTTTGGTCTACATCCAAATGCGTGCTAAAAATAGTAAGAACAGAGTTCTATTAAAACAGGAAAGTACAAGGTGTCTTCATGTAAAATTTGGTTTACATAAAATAGAAAAGTATTCATTCAGCAGATGTAAAAGAAAACAGCTACAAGAAAAACATCAAACTGTTCCCCATCTTCAGAGGACACTGAAAAGCTGGTATTTACATATTATGCAAGAAACTGATCCCAGTGAAATCATGCCTGAGGTACCATTCTTAGAAGCAAAAATCACAGGTACGAGTATAGGAATAAAAATTAGAGGTATATAAAATTTTTGGCTAACTGAGAATTTAAATTGGTTACTAAATGATTACATTAACTCCTAATTTCACGAGCAGACAGGATACACCCAGAATAGCATCGTCTTTTTTCTTACTGAATTCAAGATACAAAATAACTATTTGAAATATCTGAATTCTTCAAAAATCCACAATAATTTTTTAAAAGGCCAAAGATTCTGAATACACCTTTAAAACACGAGTGTACCAAAGCAATTTTTTTAATGGTTTCCTTTCTCTCACTGAGGTATCCCAGAATCCATTAGCTTAAATTTATTTGCATACCAAGAACACATTAAGACTTCACGGATTTCTGTTCTTCTCCCTTCTCAATTATGCCAACATCAGTTAAGCACTATCATTCCAGAACCATGAAAAATAGTCATCTGTTTTGTAACAGCAACCATCACTTCCACAAGCTCCAAGAGAAAAGACAGAGACCTTAGGCACCAGCTTTGCGGTAACTCATCAGCAACAGGCAAGACCTGTAAAGCAGCAGCGCTACTCACGCAGAACACCTGCTGCTGCAGGCTGGAAATAGCAACACCAGCAAGAAAATTATCTAGGGTATTTGTTATTATTATCTTAAATACCATCTTGTATTTCCTATCACGGTATCAAGTTCATGTATGGCTTTTGACTGTACATATATTTAATAGTTCCATGAACACACATACTTCCCTTAAACATAGCTGAATATAGACTTTTCAGGTGTTCCTTCTCAAGCTGTATCTAATTACATCTCAGCACTCTGCCAAAGCAACAGCTGTCTCCTTCGGAAAGTTGTAATTGTATCATGAAAATCAGCGTTGTACTTGCTTCCTGCTTTTGCTCATGGCTACTATTCCAAAGGTGGAAAAAAAAAAATCAACACACAAAAAACAAAAACACACCACACAAATATACTATCATCTGGACTTTAACAGCAAAACTGACAATAAATACCAAGGAGTAAGGTAACAAAAAGATCCATACTGAAACCTGAAACGCCGTTTCTGACCACTGTTATTAGATATTATGACAAAAATTAAATAAATTTTATTTCAGAAGATGTCTGTGACTTCTACTCCAGGCCTGCCTTAGTTTATTCATATCTTTTAAGAAAAGATTTGCTCTACATCCAAAAATTAATCCAGCTCCCTATTTACTATTAAATACTCAAGAATAATCTATGTCTCTCAAAACTTAATTAGTGATCGTTAAGTTTCTGGACATGCAACCCTATTTTGATGTACTGGGGCAACTATGAAAAATAACCAAATAGAAGCAGTGGTTTTATACACATATTACACTACATTTCCTACCATACCTACTACTGATGTTACAGTAGCATAACTGTTAGAACAGATTTGGCATATTATCCATCACGTTGTTTGCCTCATGCAAACATTCCAGTTACAATGCAAGTGGCAGCAAGCACTATACCCATATCAGCATTCTTCTTTTTGCAACCCTTGGTAGCACTTCACTTAAGTATGAGGAGCAGTGGAAAACTTTGAGGGGAAAACGGGAACTAAGACAAGGCAACTGGCTGCCCTTGTAATCTGCAGTCAACTTAAAGAGCCACTTCAGGTCATGAGAAATTTCAAGATGACAACTCTTTCATAGTTCTCTTCCCACGGTCAGAAAAAATACCACATGGAAAAGAAATACTCCATGAAAAAGCTACTCTTTCACTAGCTTTTATGGCAACTTGCATGTAAGCCAGACAATGTGCAAGGTTATCAATCACTTTCCTACTTAAAAGCTTTTTCAAAGTCATGCACAAATTTGTAAGAGTGTTCAACCAACGTATATCAGCTGGCTCATGTACTGTTTTCGGATATTGATATCTGCAATCCGTTTACCGGATCTGGCATCATTGTCTGAGCTCAGATGACTCAGATAAAAACCATGTGAAAACGTAGTTTGTTTTCATGTTTAAAGTCTCCGCTGGTCTCCTGCAACAATAACAGGAAGAGCTGTACGGATCGATACGCAAGATTACTAACAGGGACTTTTCTTCTCCTACCCAACAACATGCACATGAAAATTTCTTAACCAGGTAATACATGCAACACTTACCAGATCTCTGTGAAGCACCCAGTTTGCATGGAGGTAATGGATTCCATCGAGGATCTGGTAGAGCAGGGATTTAACCATAGATCTTGGCAACTGCATGGGCTTTTTATTTGCTTTTGAGGCACGGTGAAACTTGATAATATGCTAGAAATAAAACAAGTAGAAACATGAAGCATGTTAGATAAGTAGAAAGGGTTTTTGTTGTGTTGGCTTTTTTAAACTATTAACACTAAATAATGGAATGAAATACAAAGTTTGTTGAGCTTTGCAATTAAAAGTAATAGTGATGTGCTCACAATTTTCTTGAATTGCTTTTATTCTCTGAGTTGCTTCAAAAAACAGCTGTCAAGCTTTTGTTAATAGCTAAAGACTGGCCACTTACCTCCAGTAAAGGGTCTTGGACATTCTCCTTCCTCCCTCCTCCCCATCTGGGATCCTCTTACCCTCAGCTGCCAGAGCAGAAGCTTCCAAACCAGCAGTATCTACCAGAAAGAGGACCACACTCTATGCTTTCACACCCTCCCTCCTCCTCTCCAAAAACACCTAGGTCAGAGTGTTTGCAACTACTTTAGTGTTCCCCCCTAAATCAGAATCCCAGCAGAGAGAGATTAAATAAATATTTTAATAAATATTTTCAAGGGGGGGTGGGACAGATGACGCCAAAACCCCCACACCATAACATTAGGGTGAGATCATGTTCAAACATCTAGAAATGGTTATATTCTCCGTTCCAAGTTTTGGCTGCGTACTTCATGATGATGACAAGCTAGTGGTTCTTGGCTTACAGAAGTCAGTCAGCCTACTAGAGGACAAATACCGCTTGAAAACACCGAATGCAGAAAGGGACCCTACCATTAGTCAGTTGAGGGAATAAAAAAAAGATCATGAAAAGATTGCTGAGAGATCATGAAATATTCATAAACTAATTAATATTTATTGTAAGATCAGTGCGGAGATGATGGGTTAGGTTTGGTTTTGCTACCCTGTACAAGAAATAAAGTGGGGTGAGGCCATTCTACCTTTTCAATCCTCAGACAAGGTGGGGCTACGCAAGGCGCAAACCCAATCTTAATATATTGCCATTCAGCAAGCAACTAAATCCATTCATTTGGATCAAAAAAAATTTCTCCTTTTTGAAAGCAATTCAAAGAAGCATCTCAAATAGCAAAATAGTTTTCAATTATGTGCTTTTTGAAAGACAGAAATAATAAAGGCAGTTTGCATTTTTACTGAAAGCAATTCAAAATGCTAATCTGTAGAGTGACAAGACTACTAATTACCCAATTCTTTAAATGGGATTTGTCTAGTTCAAGATCACCCCCCTCCCCACTCAATGGCTGTGCTTTCATTAGAGCTCTGCTCCCCCCCCCACCCCCTCCCGCCAAGTTTGTCACTACTGTTCCCAATGGAGATGGGAACGGGTTAACGTTTCCTCATGGTAAATGCTACCTCTGGCTGTCACCAGCACTTTAGCCACTGTCAATTTGTGCTTAGCAAAGGTGTAGACAGTATTGTTTAAAGAGAAATTAAAAAAAAGTAAAAATCACCAAATAAGTCAGAAGAACAGCCTGCTCGCTCCCTATCAACAGCAACGTTCCCACCGAGCCTTCCACTACTACACATACAGCAGTGACGGCTGTACATTAAAAATCAGTATAAAAGAAATCTACAGGATTATCAGTTTTTAATATACACACTAGGATCAGTAAGCAAAACAAGCTCTTAGTGCCTGATTCTTTAATTGTGCAATCACTCTGAGCACTATAATGGAAAGCCTTATGGGCTCGTTTCCTTAGAAAAGCTTTTTCTTGTTATGTCACAAGATCCCGTGTCAAAACTTCAGCTGGGGGTCCCTACCTTCCAGAATCACACAATGCTCGCTGGTAACGACCTTCATGTGTTATTACAATACGATTTATAAAGCAGTAACGATACCATAAACTCCCAAATGAGTATCTTTATTAATACACAGTATGAAAAAACACAGGAGCACCAACAGGGAAAGGTCACGACACAGAGACCCATAAACCCAGCCCAGCCCTTTCTCAAGGTGCGTGTAATCACTAAGAGGGATTTCTATGCCCGTTTAAAAACTAACTAGTATGCACACAAAACATTATTCCTTATAATAAAGGTCTATAGAAGATGAAACTGAAAAAGTGTCTCATGGGGCAGAACGGGCCACAAGCAGCTGTAACCACAGTGGGGCCGAGGAGGGCTCTCCCCACGGCCCTGCCCCAGCCCCTCGGGTGCCATGGAGGGAGGAGAGGCAGCACCAGGCTGGTGCCCACCAACTCCTGCCCCGGCCCTCCCGCGGGGCTCCCAGCTCCTTCCAAGGGATGGGAACCCTGCCAAAGGCTCTGTCCCATGAGAAACTAAGGGCTGAGCAGATGTTTAAAGCAACACGAGAACCTGTTCAGGAAGAAGGTGCTATCAATCAGGAAGCTACTAGCACGCCAGGGCCATCCACTAGATTGTAAAGCAAAGCTCACACAATAGTAGAGGAGGGAAAGGTTTTTTCCTGTGGCGATTCAAAGCAGCAGCATCCCTCTTTCTTCCACTCATTCCACAGGAACGCCTAGGTTAACTTTTCAGGCCGATAATCTGCCCTTCAGCTGAGCTTTAGGTATGCAAGTTACCTCTAAACCACAGCTAGCGTAACTACACCAGCGCAAGGCTAAGCTCAGTTACCCGGCCAGACTTGCCAGCTGAGGCTCACCACCACACTCACCAAAGCTGGCGCACGCTCCAGAAGACGGCAGAGCTTGCTCTTACCTGCCTCCGAAACACCACTTGGGCACATTCTAAATCGTCTTGCTCTGGTGCTTGCCTGTGCCAGTCAGAAAGGCTAAGAAAGCAAGCTCCTTTCTTGAAAGGGTTATTGTACTGCAGAAGTGAATTAAAACTGATAGTATTGCTTTAAGCAAGCAGTGCCACCACCATTAGATAAAATTCAGTTTCCCACAGAAACAAATAAAAATTATTGTTGCCAACCTACTCTACAGAAGTTTATATTCATCAAATCACAAACTTCACCCCATTACAGTTTAGATTAGAGAACTGAACAAAAATTAAACTAAAAACATAGTGCAGGGTCAAATAGTACAGGGAACTGAAAAGCTGAATTTGCCCCATGCCACTGAATGAACCCACAGTGCCTGTGACCAAGTCCAACTCTCAAGAGTTTTTACAAAAAGTAGTTCATCCAATTTCTTGTACGCAAGTAGCCATACGATGACAGACCAACACACATAACCAACACTAAACAGCAATTCTAATGGCAGTGTCCATCTAAGAAGCAGAAAGGCAAATGGGTACCATTGGTGAACATCATCTCTTCTACTGGAGGCAGCAAGCCCAAGCTTTTTCTTACTTCTGTATATTTTCAGAAATATCTCTATATGGCACTACCACTGCTGTGGGAATGTGTTCCCAAATAATAAACAAACAAACAAATAAAATAAGAGCATCAAAACAGAAATAAATGAATGGTCGTAACAATTTGACAAAAGTTTTGGAGATCAGGCAGATGAGGTGTACAGTAAGCTCCAAAGCAACGGATGCCGTACCAGTACAACTACGCTAAAGGAATATTTTAACTTGAGCAATTCTGCTGACTTCAGCGATAGCAGGGAGATGTGCTCTTTCCGTGTCAAAACACTTAATATTTAATAGTTTAAATCCACGACCTCAGCTGTAGAAATGGATGTAGGTAGCAGCACAAACTAGGATGTTCTTTATACATAAGTGCACTAAGCAAGTGGATGAGGCATTCTCTACTAGCTTCACTTAACTAGTCGCAAAGTGCAGCCTCAAGTACAGCATATACCAGCCATAATCTTAGACCTAATAAAGGTATGGAATGATTTACAGGAATTATGGGAACTGTAACCCGCATTTCTAGTAGCTTGTCTGCCTTCTATGTTACCTAGTATGTTGAAATCAGCTTGAAAATCGGCTGATTAAGAACAATGTACATTTTCTAAATCCTCCACCATAAACAAAGCACACATAACACATGACAACATAGAGCAAATGCATTTAGTTTGTTTCATGAAAACCCCTAGTATTTACCCAGCAGCTAAATGAGCATTCAAAAAGATCCTGATTTTACCCTGCTTCCAAGGAAGTCCAGTCGATGCAAACATACTCTGTCTTTGTGTCACCCCATTCCCAATTTCAAGAATTGCTGTTCAGTATAACAGACGTTAAAACAAACAAGTCAGACCTGCAAAGTTTTCATGGAAGTAAGAAGCCAGCTAAAGAAGAGATTTTATGCATGTCTGACTACATGAAGTTACAGTGTGAGCTCCCACCTCAACAGACGCGAGATGATCCACAGACCTTAAGACACAATCCCCTAGAAAACCCGACTACTTGAGTTCTACTGCTTAAGGCACCCCTTGTTTCAAAATTACATGCACCTCCATCAAACTGAAATGCAATCACGTCAGCACAGATGCCTCTCCTAGCTGAAGTAAATTGTCTGTTTGCTCCCACACTTTAGCAAAACCCCTTCATTCTATCCAATCTCTAATCAAACCTTTGAGAATAAAACAGAATTACATCAATGTACCAGTAAAAAGTAAAATCACATTTTAATGTTAAAGAGACAGAAACTTGGATACACATTAAATCTGTGCCAAGGTCAAGAGGAAGATTCAGATTACACGGCTTCAAGTCTCATCTTAAACATAAAATGATTTCCATCTTCTCTCTTCAGCTATCAATACCCAAAGGTATATAATATTGTTGAGTGCTAAATGTAAAGCACTTATAAGGTTACCGAAGAATAAATCAAAATCTAAAGGTGGTATAAAAACGAACGGTGCATTGTTTGCACAATTTTCAAAAAGAAGCAGCAAAGATAGACCCAACTAACCTGAGTAACATTTGTTTGCTGTTCCAAAAATAAACCATAGCTTCATATGCCTACACTTAGGACTCCTATCGGACATCAAAGTTTTAGACACTAAAAAAATTTTGTCAAGAGTATATCACAAGTAAAATGAAATCAAAACAGAAGTCGGCAAAAGTATTTCTACAGCGATCACCTACGGTTCCAATTTTGGAAGCATTACAGCGATCAACACATAACAGTCCTTCAAAAGAGGAGGGGGAAAACATGTGCCTCAACGTGCTCC